CATAGCATCCACCCACACATTTTTTTAAGTCATAACCTGGATAAAGGATGGGTACCTCAGCTTGTGTAGAATAATACATGCAGATTAACAATTGATGAGCATGTTTTTGACTTAAACATTAATGTCACTGTATGGAATTTATCAAAACTTTCTCATAAAAAATGTGTTAGAAGTGAATTTATTCTTATGCAAGCTCTTTTGTCTTTTTTAAAAGAATCTTTAATCCATGTTTTTAATAATAAACACTGACATCATTTCAAGAATTTCCAAGGAAGGCAGATTTTTGCATGTGGTTAGATAATTAATATTGGTATTCCAACTGTAATTTGACCTCCCAAACAATCCATACACACATACTGCTTCTGAGTATAAAGTTATGCAGTGTCATTAATGGTTGGTAAGTGGTTGCTACAAGTAACAGCATGCATTGTTGTAACTTGTGAACATCAGCTCAAATGTAAAGATATAAAGAAAAACCATAGTTAGATAAATATTCTAAATAAACATTTAATTGACTAATGATTACAACATAAACGGTAAGAGTTTTATTACACAAAGTTTCTACCTTGCTAGGTTGAGATTTGAAAAAATGATAAATACTTTGAAGGAAATAGATTCCACTTTGTATGTATTAATTTGTATGTATTTATACCTTGCTAGATTGAGATTTGAAAAAATGATAAATACTTTGAAGGAAATAGATTCCACTTTGTATGTATGAAACTTTTGGTAGTCCAACATCTGTGTCTGTTCTTAGGTTCAAAGCCGAATTTAGACAGTTATGTTTTCTTCAAAGTATTGAAAGATACACCAAGTCTAGTGGTGGAAGAAGGAGCATCTGAAACAAGGTAATAGGAAATAGAATGTGTGATTTCATGAGAATTGCATAGTCAATGCTGGAGTTTAATTTATAGTATCAGAAATACACTTTAAACACTTAAGATCTTCAGAGAAATCAGAGGTATTAGATGTGGCAGATGAATGAATAATCTGTTATTTTCCTGCATCTTATTTCACCAATAATAGTGAAATAGCATATGATTAAATTTAATGAAAAAAAAACTACTTGTAAAAAAACGTATTTTTTAGATGAATTAGAAAGTTCATTCAAGTTGCAGCTCATGGTCTGTTTAGTTTCCATTACCACATAAGTGTGCATCTAACTTTGGGGTCCTAGGTGCATTATAAGAGTGATGGTCAAATCCAGCTATTCAATTGAAATAACCAAAGATTTGATGATGTGTGCTTGTAATGTTGACTAGCTGCTTCCTTTCTAGTCTGTCAGTTCAAAACTAAAGATGGCTAGTGCAGATAGTTCTTGCATAATTTTGCATGGTATCTGAAACATACATAAACTGTTTAATACTTCCAATGTTTGTATAATGTGAAAAATTTAATTAATCTAAAATCAAACAGTCGAGGTTGGTTGTCTCTAAGCATTTAATATTTTCTTTTTAAAACAAAAGCAAAACAATTTATGCAAGGTTATTTTTTTAGTAGTTTTTACGTTTACTTATTGATATTGAACCCCAGCTTTGGCATCTAATGCCACTGTCTTTGTATCTTTCTGGTTAATATTGATGTGTAATATCTATTTAAAAAATCCAAAATTAAAAAAGTAATATTTTACTGTTTAATAGTAGTTACTATGTTTAAGAATTCCTTACTCACACATGAAGGGAAAAGGGAATACTTATAAATGAATTATTTTCAACTCTAAGTTTATTTTCAGTAAAACAATTTCTTTAACAGCATTTGAAAATTTTTTATTTCGTTTTTAATTTCAAATTATTTTTAGTTTCATTTTTTCAGTCATTTTTAAACCAGCGTTTCTGTGTAACTCATTGAAAACAAGATGGTAATTCAACAATTGAAGTAATTGATCAAATCTCCATACAGAGAAAGTGACATCATAGACCTTGAAGCTGGCTCCCAGCACATCATAAGATATAGACCTGTTTATAGGTTGCTCCAGAATGGAACTGTCAAGCTCATCTGATATCTTACATGAATAGCCAGTAGATTTCAAAGATGAGGCTGAATATTGAGATGGTTTGTTCCTCTGGACAGTTATAAGCAATGTTATCCAAGAGCAAGCAAGCAATTTTTGAAGCATTGTGGTTTGTCCTTAGAAGCCATTCTTATATGAAGTAACCTGGTTTTGATTAAACCTTCAACAAGCAATCTGTAATTTTCTCCATTGTGAATGTTTTCCAGGGTTATATACATATAAATGTAACCAACCATCGCTTAAGATAAAATTGCACGTTTATTAGAAGTAAATTGTTTTCATATTTTGAAAGTTCAATTTTATAAGAAGTCAAGTGATATTTGTATTTTATTTTTTCCATGTAATGTTGAATAAAAATGTGGAATAAAATAAAACGTTTTTGATTTTTATAGTGTTAGATGTATATGCAAACAAATCCACTTTTACAGTTTATAGTACTTGTGTTTATATTTGAGCCAACCAGACCACATATGGTATTCCATCTCTGGGATGCACTCATTCATTGTTTCTTCAGTTCTTTTGCAAGTTTTATGAAATATGCATTGTCATAGGAGGAATCCTGTGAGTTTGTGAACCTCAAAACTGAAAAGAACTGAAGGAGATACAATGATTTTTTTTCTAGATAGATAATTTCTTCTCTAAACTTTGTTATGGTGTTATTGGAGAGTGTGCTACCACTTTCTATGTAGGGATGGCATGGACACTCGTATTAAAGCAATACAAAGGTCATCTGTGTTTTCTTCTCTGCAGGTCATCATAAGGTATCTCTATCTCCAGTGTATATGCCACTTTTCAGCTATCCAGAGTGTCCCAAAGTCAAGATTCCTTATTTTCATTCATCATTATCATCTTTCTTCAATAGGCCTAACATCTACCTAGTTTTAGCAGTCACTATAAATTTTTCATTACTTAATAAACCAAAACAGTCTTCATGATCATTGACTACCTATTTTATTATTCTATGTAAAATTTATAAAACTTTAGAATACACTCTATAATCTAGTAGCTCATGTATGTTATCTTATAAAAAAAAGTAAACAACTACATATAAGGAAGAAATTTATTGCGAAATAAAAAAGCTATATAGGGCTGGCTACTGAACTTAAAAAAAGGAACCGAACAAGATAGGGATGGAAGTGGATATATCACTTGATTGGCTACTGATCACATAGCAGACTAAGCTGTCCCAACTTTACTTGGAAAATAAAATCCCTACATTACTCACTGGTAAGACAAGTAGAACCAGAACTTCCTTTCGTACAATGATACTCTATTGTGAAATAGTCATAAAAGTAGTATACTAAAGGATAGGTATAATGATGAAACCTGAGATTCTGTTCAAACACCAAATTTTCGATTGACAAAGTGGGGAAGCCATTAATGTAGGGATTTTATTCTCCATGTAAAGTTGAGACAGTCTGCTATGTGATCATTAGCCGATCAAGTGATATGTCCAGTTCCATACATGTCTTGTTTGGTTACTTTTTTCAGGTTCAGTAACCAGCTCTGCATATTTAGTAAAAAATTATTTCCTTCATTATTTGTAACACAATATATATAGAGAAAGAAGAAGAAAAAAATAACAATAGTCATCGGTAACTGTAAGAACAATTTGAAGATTTCCTGTTAAGACTGGACATATCTCGGAAGACAGGTATCTGAAGCATCATATTCAAAGCTTACTTGCAAGTGTAAAGTAGCACAATACTCTACATACTGCCAATGTAGCAGATGTGGGTGTAATGATGACGGGATACCAGTTGCACAGGAAAAAGGCCAGAAAAGAATTTTCATGTGTCAATAAAATTGCCTAAAAGCTGAAGAGAAGCATACCTAACTACAGACTGGATGTGTTCATAGAATTGTCTGAAGACATGGAAAGCTGTGACCAGAGGATGGGAGTGACTAACTCTAGGGAGATAGAAAAACCACTATCCACGAAAAAGCCATCACAAAATACTTCTCAGGTCAAGTCGTACAGATTTCTATATTTCATTCCAGCTTTTCTGGATCTTGTGTATACCCTAATTTGTTCTTCCACCAATGGCTCATTACTACTGAGGGTGGTATTAACCAGAAACGAAGCTCTGGGTTGTATAGAGACCACTCTGCTTGGTCTTGGACCCTAGACCATGCACCACTCTAACAATAAGTTCTTTTGGGTACTCTAGATGGTATTCAAATTCAGTGCTTGCAGCTGCAGGTTGATGGGTGTTAGAGACCTCTGTAGCATTAGCAAAACTCCCTGATTTAAAAGAGGGGACTTTTTCCAGACCTAACCACCATTTACGTGAGCTGCCTTTCCTCTGTACCCATGACTCCCTCTATTTTGTTCACCTCCTGCCACTTGGAAAATGCCATTTCCAATTTTTGATATACTTGGTGTACTCACTAGAGAGTGAGAGAATCCAGTTTCACACCCACTCAAAAAGCACAAACTTCCGAAACAACAGTATTGTTCAAGGCACTAAAATTTCTCTTTCTTACCTGCTCAGTAGTATTTTCCATTACATGGATTTTCCTTACAGTATATGAAGAAGGTCCAATAAGTACTGTTTCATAGAGTATTGGTTTGTGTCCCCTTGAACTCCAATTACGTTCGTCAATAAGAAAGAAGCTGCATGAAAAATGCACAACAACAATTTATTTCAGTATACATTCAGACAAATACAATCTACAAACAAATCAGGGACGAGTGTTTGTAATGAGTGTATGAAACTGGTAAGATAATGGAAAACAAAATCTTCATGGGTGCGGGGAGACCCGACCTATTATATGATTCTCCGACAGAAAAGACTGCTGTCTATTTTTGGAGACTGCAAGTGAAGTCAGCCATCTTTCCTGCAAGAAAACATGTTTAACGACCAAGTAGAGGGAATATGGTAGTGTGCAGTTATAGTAAAAAATTACGTTATTTACTTAAGCACTTTTCCAACCAACTGAATTGAAAGAAAATAGAAACTTAGAAATATTTACATATTAACTAAAGGGTTAGCACACATAGCACCGTCCTGTATTCCACAGTATTGTTACGTCTCCGTTTGTTAATTAACTTTCCGTAATTTCGTTCCGACGAAACTTTAGCGACACAAGTCCTTACTTAATAAAACTGATTTATTCTTTCTGAATATAACTTTACCGATACACTTATTTTCAACATTCGCGCTAAAACAAACGCTATAACGAACTTCAACAATACTCTCTGACTGCAAATCAATTACTCACTACCTACACACACATTGTCCCGTCACGTTGTCACCCTCTTATATATACCAGACTACCCTATATCTAGTAATCTCCCGACAATTCCCGAAGGTTCGAGAGAACGAGTGGCGTGACACTAGTCACGTGACCACGCTGACGCAACACTGCCCCCTCCTTAGTATATTTCGTCCCGAACAATAGCCACTTACAATAAACCAATAACAATTAACAATAACTTAATTAAATGTACAGAATTACAATCACAAAATTACAATTCAATAAAGTCTCTTAATTTTACGGGACGTATCTTCTTCCGTACTGGTCTCCCTCTTGTTGGCTTCTGCTTCACGTGGGGTTCATCAGGAAATGTCCTATCGTCGGTAACAGTCACATCAGTGGTAGTAACTTCATCAAGAGCTTCACCGTTTCCCTTCTCAAAACTGAGTAGAGTTTCTTCTTCGACGGTGCCTTCTTCATGTGGCACGTCTTCAGCAGCGTCATTTCTTCTGTTGTCCACTTCGTCCCAACTAAAATGTCCTGGACCGTGATGACGCCAAAGCTTGTTGGCAGGCACCACTTTTGGTTTACCTCGCCGACCACATTT